TCAAAATTAAATTGTCCAGAGGGAATGCATATGCATAGTAAGGTTCCAAATATCAATTCAAATGAGGATTTGAACATTACAAGAGGGAGACCTTGGGCTTCTTGGAAGAGCCTTGGGATTTTTCTCTCTAAAAATTTCCACTTACATGAACAGAGATATTTGCTTTCAGTTTTTTCTTTTCCCTTTTGCTTTCCCAGACCAAACTCTATGGATCAAGGTTGTGGAAGGTATTTTTGCCCCCTAGTTTGGACTATTTTTAAGGAATGAGATAAGTGATAAAAACGTTTGTACATCTTCAGCTTCTCAAAACCTTCCTGAGATTTTTAAAAACTAGTACAATTCATCCATAATTCTCACAGATTCTCCAGAAGAAGCAAACTTTTACAGATCTTCAGGAATCAGAAAACAATACATATAGGATAATCCTACTATATTTAGAACTTTCACATTTAATCTACCCAATCTACAAATATTTATTTAATCTACTGTGAGCCAAGACTCTTCTAGATATTGAAATATAATTTTGTGAGCAACGCAGCCACAGTGTCTGTTCTTGTGAAGTTCAAAGTCCAGGAAGAGATTTCACCCTGAACAAATAAGTACAAGTGTGACGTGTATTTTAAAGTGAAAGTGAAGGTTACTAGGGGAGTGTACCCAACAACGAGATGAATGTAACCTTTAGCATGGGACAGGGGGTTACCTGAGGAAGTGAGACTTCAAGAAAATGCTTAGAGAATGAATAGAACTTTATCAGGGAAGAGAGGAGAGCACAAATAAAATATGAAGATTATCATTAATATTAGAAAATATACACAAAGAAACAGCTGAAGTTAAAATGATGTTTTGTCATTTATAAAACAAACAAAACCTATTTTAAAATTTTTCCTTGGACCATAACATTGTTCACTAAATCACTTATTCAGTGAAACACAACATCTAGAAAGATAAAATTCAATCATGTATTTCTAATCCCAAACTCTAACTAAAAGAGGGAAACACTAGTGGACCAATGATATTAATATATTTCTGAAACTCACAATCTATACATTTTCAGAATAATCCTCAAACAATGGCAACTATGACAACTTCTTCAAGGATGCTTAATTATGAACTTTTGTCTTATATATGTTAAGCTGAATTACTTGGCTCTCTACATCCAGAAATTAATCAAATGAAACCATTCTAGATGAAAAATTCTATATATCCTTTGAGTGGAAGAATAAACTATTTTACAGGACTACTTTGAGAATCCTTTAAAAGCTTTGGATATTCTTCTCACATAAATACACATATAGATATTTACTTAGCATTTTACATCAGAAATCCTCTTCATGAACTCTCTATTTAGGAAGGCCTATGGTAGATGATAACAAACATCAGCCAGACACGGTGGCTCATGCCTGTAATCCCTGCCCTTTGGGAGGCCAAGGCAGGTGGATCACCTGAAGTCAGGAGTTTAAGACCAGCCTGACCAACACAGCAAAACCTCGTTTCTACCAAAAATACAAAAATTAGCCAGGTGTGGTGGCATGTGCCTGTAATCCCAGCTACTCAGGGGGTTGAGACAGAAGACTCTCTAGAATCTGGGAGGTAGAGGTTGCAGTGAGCCGACATGGTGCCACTGTACTCCAGCCTGGGTGACAGAGCAAGACTCCGTCTCAAAACAACAACAACAACAAAAACACACACAAAACAGCAAAAACAAACATCAAGTGAAGGATTGAAACTAAGATATTTATCTAATCTAAAATTATTTCCATGTTATAGATAAATGTATAAACAACTTTCAAGTGATCTCCTAAATTGTTGAAAAATAATCTGATATAATTATGATTATTTTTATCATATCTGCATCTGGCCAATTTAAGAATGTTCCCAAGAAACAACTGGGATATGTTTTTCTAAGAACCATTTATGTTAATATTTTGGTGGCCCATCTAATAATAATAATTTCCAAGACTGGATAAGCCTTGGAGTCTCTGGAATCTCCATGTACTGTGGTAATATAGAATAAATACATTTAGTATATGCAAACATATTCTTTTGAACTTTAAAGAAACACATTTCAAAATAAATAGTTTGAAAATATTGCATTTATTTTAAAAACTAAATACAAAAAATAGATCAGCTACAATTTTCCAAATTTCTGGTTAACAGGAAGAAAAGCATAATATATTTCTACTGTGAAAACAACCACAAAGAAAAAAAACAAGGACGATTAACAGGGGAAATTGTTAAGAAGAAAAAAATGCAGCCACCAGTTAAACTCATCAGGCTTATTTGTGATTAGGCTGAAAATATCTAAAATGCATATTTTATATTTTTCTTCCATGAGTATCCCAAGACAATAGAAGCATATTTTGAAATCTTTTTTGTCAATTTCTTTACCATAGTAAAACCTTGCTTCAAAGACAAGAAATTTCCATTGTAACTTACATGATTTATTCTTTCCTTGTGTTGATCTCAATGTGCAATGTGTAGAACCCTAAATACACATAGCATTTACTTTTGTACAAAGTATCTGACCTTTATACCACATGAGTTTACAATTTAATTATATGATGGCACTGGCAAGACTACAAAATAAAAAACCACTCAATAGTAAAATGTACATGCAATATAATGTTGCACACTGTGAGGTATAGCCAATATTACACAGTATGACTCCTTAAGCATTTGAGAAATCATTCAACAGAATTACAGCTTTCAAAAGCAGAAATTTTTTAAGAGTGAATAAAGGTCAAAATTTCATTAAGGGGCATGCGACACCATCTGACATCATTCATTAGTATAGAATATAAATCCTTTAGTGTCAGTTCTTAGCAGTTAAAGCAAACACTTTATTTAACATAGATCAAATTAATAATAGAAAGAATTTTTGAGTTCTGCCAGATGATTTCGTTACAAACAAGCTATCTTGGTGAAAGGGGGATGGTATGAAAAAGATCTCAAATTTTTATTTATTGAAATAGGTAAGATAATCTATATTTAAAGAAATTAAAATCCATACCCACAAAAAGCCTATACAAGTTTATTGAATTCTGAATTGGAAACATATGTGGGTGTGTAGGTATATACATATGTGTGAGTGTGCGTGTGATATATATGTGTGTGAACATCATTTTTGGTAAACTTGTATAGATTTGAATATAAATAGTATATTAGATAATATAGAATTATGGTTCTTTTCTTTTTTAGAAGTGATTACTGTCTATGATCATATAAGAGATGCATGTTGAAATCTTTGGAGTGAAAGGTCATGACATATACAACTTTCAAGCAGTTTTACAAAACAAAGCATACACACACACACTAAAGGCATATATAGTAAGTCCAGAAGAAATGTATATGGGTTTTCATTGTACTATTCTTTCAAATTTTATTAAGATTTAAAATTTCTAATGATAAAATTTGGAGAAAGGTAAAGAATTCTGTGTATTCTTTTTTTTTGTATTTTATTTTATTTATTGCATTTTAGGTTTTGGGGTACATGTGAAGAACATGCAAGACTGTTGCATAGGTACACATGTGGCGGTGTGATTTGCTGCCTTCCTCCCCTTCACCTATATCTGGCAATTCTCCCCATGCTATCTCTCCCCAAATCCCCACCCCTCACTGTCCCTCCCTTATTTCCCCCCAGCAGACCCCAGTGTGTAGTGCTCCCCTCCCTGTGTCCGTGTGTTCTCATTGTTCAACACCCACCTATGAGTGAGAACACGTGGTATTTGATTTTCTGCTCTTGAGTCAGTTTGCTGAGAATGATGGTTCATCCAGGTTCATCCATGTCCTTACAAAGGACATAAACTCATCATTTTTGATGGCTGCATAACATTCCATGGTGTATATGTGCCACATTTTCCCTGTCCAGTCTATCATTGATGGGCATTTGGGTTGGTTCCAGGTCTTTGCTATTGTAAACTGTGCTGCAATGAACGTTCGTGTGCATGTGTCCTTATAGTAGAACGATTTATAATCCTTTGAATACATACCCAGTAATAGGATGGCTGGGTCAAATGGAATTTCTATTTCTAGATCTCTGAGGAATCGCTACACTGTATTCCACAATGGTTGAACTAATTCACACTCCCATCAACAGTGTAAAAGTGTTCCTATTTCTCCACATTCTCTCCAGCATCTGTTGTCTCCAGATTTTTACCCTGTTAACAGATGCTATTAATGAGAGAGAATGAAGGAAGAAACCAATCAGGCAGGCGTTAGGGTGGGTCCTCGGCTGAATTCTTTCAAACAAAAGAACAGCCTGCAGGCAGAGATAAGGGAACTTTCACAGAGAGGCTTGCCTAAGAACTGTCCCCAGCTTCGTAGATAAGAAAGGCTACAGAGAGGACCTGCCCAGTCATGCCTACAGTGAAAAATTCTATATCCTGACACGTGCAATAAGAACAAAGCAATGTGGAATAATTCAAGCTAAGGGCCCACATGCACACTAGAAGGATGGGGTGTGTAAGGCTAGTTGCCTTGCCGGGGGTCAAACGGACACATTCATCACTCTCCACACCTGATAAGTGTGTCATCATCCAAGCTCATTATCTGGCTTCCCCACATAGCTTCACCGCACCCACCTCTGCATACCATGCCCAAGCCTACACTCAGCACTAAATTATGCATCCAACCTCCAGCCCACTGTTAAAAAACCCTGCAGAGAAATTGTTTAAAGAAGCCCCACTGTACCCTGCCCAGCAACAGCCTGCCCCGTACACCCCCAGCAGGCCCACGTACCCAAGGTCCCGCCCGCCTACCAATGGCAGCTAGTTTCATGTACTTCCTACTTTAACTCCATGTACTTCCTGCTCCTCAACAGCCAATAGGCCTTCTCTTTGTTTCCCCAGTAGTCAATCAAGGCCCACTTACCCAAGGTCCCACCCATCTACCAATGGCAGCTAGTTTCAAGTACTTCCTACTTTAACTCCTTGTACTTCCTGATCCTCAACAGCCAACAGAAATGCCTTCTCTTTGTTTCCCCAGTAGCCAATCAATTGCCTGCCCTCCCCTTAAAACCCCAGGCCATGAACAGCCAGGCGTGACTTCTCTGGCCCCCCTTGGACCACTGAAGCTTGCCTGGGAGCTGAATAAATTAGCTTCTCACTTTCTTATAGTTGCCTCAGTTTCCTCATTTTACTTCAGCAATAAATTTTACATTTGGTGCCAAAACCTGGGAGGAGTTGTGAGACCCCCTCTGGAGGGGGAAACTGACTCCTCCACACAAGGCCGGACCAGGAGCTGCTCCGCCATGAGGTAAGACTTCTGTTGCCCACAACTTTTCCTGCTGCCTGCTCTGTGGACTCCCTGCTCGTAATCGCGGCTGCGTCGGGGACTCCTTCTTGTTATTTGCCATGGGCCCAGGGCCCCGGCCTTGTTCAGAGGATCTAAGCATAGTGGAGACGTCCCTACACTCTTGTCTTCTCCCTGTAAGGGGTCTTGCAGGGCCAGGAATCTGAGGGAGATGTCCCTACCTTCTTGAACGCTCTCATAATCTCCGGTGTTCAGGGGAATGGCCCAGGATGCTGAGCTGCCCTTCTGATCATCACTGCAGCAGTGGCTAAGGTTTGGGTGATAAGAATCCCTGTTCACAAGCCCGGGCTCTGCCCAGGACTAAAAAACAGACCTCTGGCTCTCAATCTCAAACTTGCCCTTTGACAGGTCAGCTCCTGCCTAGGCACTTTAGTTTCTTTCTTTCTTTCTCTCTCTCTCTCTCTCTCTCTCTCTCTCTCTCTCTCTCCCTCCCCCTCCCTCCCTCCCTCCCTCCCTCCCCGAGCGAGTGTGTGAGTGAGTGAGTTTATGTGTAGTCCCACAGCTTAACGACTACAGGGCTTGTATGGGCCTCTACCCGCCATTCCACAAGGACATCATAAGGCATAACGGTGATTCACCTCAGGACCAACAGTTCTGAGGTGACCAAGCCCAGGGTTTATAGGGGTACACCTTAGCCAAGATGCCCCAAAATATCCCTCCGAGGGCGTGACCGGGAAGGCATCAGACTGGTCTCCTATGTGGGGAGCACCCACCCTTTGTCCATCAATCCTGTATGTGGTCCTGTTTCTACTGTAGATTCACCAGCTCTGTTAGGCTCTTACTAGCTGATATACAGTGGTTCAAGCCTACTTCCCTTGAGGTACTGGATATTCTACAGTAGGTAACAGACCACTAGCTTCAGGGGAACTTCACTGAGTTCCTGCCTCTGCAAATAACTCTGTTCTCCTTTTTCCATCTATTCTTCTTCTACCGCTGAAACCCCACTTCCAACTTCCACTAGTTTCACTTCCTCTAACTCTACCATGTGGCAAAGAGCTCTAGCCCTGTCCCTTTTTATTTTCTTTCTCATTGTTATCATTGCAGCCTGTAAGTTCTCTCAGCCTCCCCCTCCAGGAAAGGAGCTTTTCTGCCCATGTTGGGTATAATTTATTTCCGTATCCACTTCTCGCTCTTAGGCCACTGAAGAAGATAAAATATGGGTAATCAGAACTCCTGCCCAGATCCCAAGTCACCACTAGGATGCCTAGTCCCAAATCTACCCAAACTAGGTCTTTCTATAATAAAGAAAAGGCTACTCTTCCTCTCCTCTGTGGCCTGGCCACAGTATCCTCTAGACAACCAGTCCAAGTGGCCTCCTGGAGGCCCCCTTGACTTTAACGTTCTAACAGATTTAGACAACTTCTGCCAAAGGAATAGCAAGTGAGCGGAGTTTCCCTATATTCAGGCTTTCTGGCACCTCTGTTCCCACACTGGCCTCTGCTCATCGTGCAGTACTGCCCAAGTACTCCTGGCAAAAAAACATTCCTCCACTGCCCTCGGCCCCTTTGCTGACCCCCTATTCTTTTTCTGACCCCAATCTGCCTGAAGAACTCTCCCTACCCCCCACTCGATCCACTAATCCCCCACCATAAGCGGACTCCCAACACTCTCCTCCTCTTCCAAGTTCAGACATGGACTCTCCTGTTAGTGCCCACACTTGCTCATGCAGCACTCCCAGCGACAAAAACTCCCTCCTCTGTCCTCTCCACAAGGTGGCTGGAGCAGAGGGTGTTGTCTCAGTACACGTTCCCTTCTTCCTTACTGATCTGTCCACCATTGAGAAATGCTTAGGGTCATTCTCCACCAATCCTACTGCTTACATCAAGGAATTTCGGTACCTTACTCAGGCATATGACCTAACCTGACATGACACTTATGTAATCCTGTTCTCTACCCTTACTCCTGATGAGTGTAACCACATCCTCATGGCAGCCAGGGCACACACGAATCAAATACATCTCACTGATTCTCAGATACCAGTAGGAGCAGTAGCAGTCCCTAAGGCTGATCCTAACTGGGACTATCAAACTGGCCAAAATGGCCACTGCTGCCAAGACCACATGCTACAGTGCCTCCTAGCAGGCATGCAAAACGCAGCCCAAAAAGTAGTTAATTATGATAAACTGCAGGAAATAACTCAAGGTCCTACTGAAAATCCAGCTGCCTTCCTAGACCAGCTAACTAATGCTATGGTCCTTCATACCTGAGTAGATCCAGACTCTTTAGCTGGGGCTACCCTCCTAGTGGCCCATTTTATTTCCAAGTCAGCACCAGATATTAGAAAAAACTAAAGAAGGCAGAGGAGGGCCCCCAAACTCCCACACGAGACCTGGTAAACATGGCATTTAAAGTTTTTAATAGCCGAGAGGAAAAGGCTGAGGCCGCCCACCAGGCCCAGCTACAGCAACAGGTGAGCCTCCAAGCCCAAGCTCTTGTAGCGGCTCTGAGACTGGCAACTCACCAAGCATCTGGTGTAAGGGGCCTGTCAAAGACCCCCCCGAAAGGGTCCCTCAGGACTCTCTAGACCCACCCAGACTGCTTCAAAGGTACCGCCCAGGCCCTGTTTCAAGTGGGGCCAGGAGGGGCACTGGGCCCAACAGTGCCCCTGTCCTCATCCGGCCCCAGGACCCTGTCCTACCTGCAAACGGACCAGATACTGGAAGGTAGACTGCCCGTCCTGGACTACAGGCTCACCCCCTGCACCTCCATGTGAGGGGCAGGCCAGTCCAAAGGATGCAGTCCCTTCATTTGAACTCCTCGGCCTCCTGGACGACTGATGTGGCCCAGACTCGGAGACCCCTATCACCCTTGCCGAGCCCAGGGTAACACTACAGGTAGCGGTTAAGTCCATTTCCTTCTTGGTAGATATGGAGGCTACCTATTCTGTATTGCCTTCCTACTCAGAACCTAACACACCTTCCCAGGTGTCAGTTATGGGAATTGATGGAAAGCCCTCCTGCCCCAACCAGACTCCTCCGTTAGCCTGTAACCTTGAGGGGCACCCATTCTCTCACTCCTTCCTGATCATGCCTTCGTGCCCAGTTCCCCTACTAAGACAGGACATCCTCCAAACTCTAGGGGCCACCCTCCAACTCACTGGCCCCTCACAACCCACTTCATCCCCCACCCATCTTCTAGTACTAACCCTAACTGGTAATGGACCCAGTCATAACCCTTCACCTCAACCCTCTATCCCTCCTGAAGTAGTTAGCCCCTCAGTATATAGCCCTTTTCTACTCTGTTTTGGAGTATATACACCAACTCAATATGCTCTCTCATGTAAAATACCGACATTCTAATTTTACGCAAATGGAAAGAAATATAAATATTATCTAGGTACCCCAATGTTAAAAGCAAAATTGCTCTGAATATAATCTGTCAGAAAAAATATACAATGCCCTTTTCTACTCTTTTTTGGGGTATATACACCAACTCAATATAAGATACCTCCAAGCCTGTAGTGGCCACACATCACACCCTAGTTAAAATACTTCTCAAAAACCCTACCCACTTTCCCTCAGTTTCCCATCTCAAAAAAAACACCGTCAAGGCCTAAAACCAATCATCACTTGACTTTTAACCCAGGGACTCCTTATCTCCACCAGTTCTCCTTGTAATTCTCCCATCTTACTGGATCAAAAGCCATCCAGTGACTACCACCTAGTCCAAGATCTACACCTTATCAATAAGGCAGTAGTACCCTTCTACCCACTGGTCCCCAACCCCTATACCCTATTATCCAACATTCCCTCTGCAACCACTCATTTTACAGTCCTAGACCTGAAGGACGCCTTTTTTACAATTCCCCTTCACCCAGAGTCTTACTTCCTCTTTGCCTTCACCTAGACTGATGCAGACACTAACCTGTCACAACAGTTAAGCTGGACAGTCCTGCCCCAGGGTTTTAGGGACAGCCCCCACATTTTCAGACAAACATTAGCGACTAACCTCAGTTCTTACTCCCTTCAACCCAGTCTCCTTCTCCAGTATGTAGATGACCTGTTACTTTGCAGCCCCTCCCTCACCAAGTCACAGCAATATACCACTATCCTCCTTAATTGTCTCTAAAGCACAGCTGTCAGTCACCTCAGTAACCTATTTAGGCAATACCATCCTACAAAATGAAGCCACCTTAATTAATCATTTAAAACCCCTAAATAACACCTTGCAACCTTTCTCCTGGCTAACTTTAGTCTAATAAGGTATCAACATGTTAAATTTAGCCAAATCCACAAATTTCATCACATGCTTTTTATGTGCCTCCCTCAGCAACCCCCCATTTGCTGCAGTTCCCCTCCAGACTGGGTTCAACCTGTCACCATCACCTACAGGGCAGCCTAACCCCCCCTTAACAGACATCCCCCTGTTTAAGGTACACTTTCAAAGTCTCTCTCTCTGCTACAGGACCGTCAATAACTCCAACTGCAATATTACGGTAAAAGTAACCTCCACCTTCTATGCACCTCCAGGGCGGTATTTTTAGTGCAATGCAACTCTGACCAAAGTTATAGATACCTCTCTTCCCTTCCCTTGTGTGCCAGCCACCTTGGTCCCACAGTTAGAAGTATATGGATTAACTGAGTTCTTATCCCTGGTCACTCCATCCCCAAACCACTGGAGTAAATGAGCAGTCTTCCTCCCACTAGTGGTTGGCCTCTCCCTAGCATCTTCTCTAGCAGCAGCTGGAATAGGGAGTGGCGCCCTGGGCTACAGTGTCACCTCAGCTGCACAACTAGAGGACAAACACCAGGTGGCCATTGAGGCATCAGCCGCCTCTCTGGTGTCCCTCCAGCAACAAATCACATCACTGGCTAAGGTAACTCTCCAAAATCGACAGACCCTAGACCTGTTAACAGCAGAAAAAGGAGGTACCTGCTTGTTTCTCCAAGAACAATTTGTTACTACATTAATGAAACCGGTCTAGTGGAAGAAAATGTCAACACTCTCTATTGTCTTCAAGAAGACCTCCAAAGAAAACAAAGTGCACTAGCCTCTTCTCTTAACTGGTGGCAATCCCCTATACTTACCTGGCTAACCCCTGTCATCAGTCCCATTATCATAATTTGTCTTTTACTAATGCTAGCCCCTTTCTTTCTCAGGTTTTACAAGCTCACATAAAAGAAATTTCCAAGGTAGCCCATAAATCAAATGCTACTTCACCCCTCTGTCCATCTCACAACCGAGGCACTGGCCAACTGACCCCCCCTACTCTGCCCCTGTTCAGCAGGAAGTAGCCAGAGAAAAACGGCATCCTATGTCATCAAAAAGGTCGGAATGTAAGGCCGGTTGCCTTGCCAGGAGTCAAAGGAACACATTCATCACTCTCCGTGCCTGATAACTGCGTCATCACCGAGCTCATTATCTAGCTTCCCCACACCCGCCTCTGCATACCATGCCCAAGCCCACACTCAGCACTAAATTATGCATCCAACCTCCAGCCCACTCTTAAAAAACCCTGCAGAGAAATTTTTTTAAACAAGCCCCACCATACCCTGCCCAGAAATAGCCTGCCCTGTACACCCCTGGCAGGCCCACATACCCAAGGTCCCACCCACCTACCAATGGCAGCTAGTTTCATGTACTTCCTACTTTAACTCCATGTACTTCCTGCTCCTCAACAGCCAATAGAAATGCCTTCTCTTTGTTTCCCCAGTAGCCAATCAATTGCCTGCCCTCCCCTTAAAACCCCATGCCCTGAACAGCCAGGTGTGACTTCTCTGGCCCCCACCTTGGACCACTGAAGCTCACCTGGGAGCTGAATAAATTAGCTTCTCATGTTCTTATACTTGCCTCAGTTTCCTCATTTTACCTCAGCAATAAATCGTACAGGGTGGAGCTACCTGAAATTCGTATTTTATGCAAATGAGCTGCCCCACCCTCATTGGTTAGTTATGAAAGTCTATTTAACTGTGAAATGGCAACCTTGTTTCAGGACCCCACTCTGCAGCAGAGAGGTTTCTTTCTTTTTTTCGCTTATTAAACTTCTCCAACCTTACCATTGGTGTATCCACATTCTTGATTTCCTTTGCTGTGAGACAAAGAACTTCGGGTGGCACCCCAGACAATTAGGCCATTTCATTAGTACCAGTGTTCAAATGCTTAGAGGGTTTCTTCACAGAGCCAGTTCCACTGATTTTCACAGTAGCCTTTAGGGCAGAATGGTTCACAGCATTATGACTTAGCAGACAAGGTAGATAGAACCTATCAAACATGAAATATATGTTATATTAAATTTCATTATAGTTAAGATATAAAATATTTTAAAATGCACCGTAATTTTGTTCATTACTAATAACACATGAGTTAGTTGATACATCAGTTCTTTCTTATAATTTCAAGAATTTAAATTTAAGAGACATTAAAATATAAAAATACAAATGAGTCCTAGAATCAATGAAGTACTATTTTCTCCAGGGAAATGGGTTCTGTGATGGCTAATATTGAGTATCAACTTGATTGGATTGAAGAATGTAAAGTATTGCTCTTGGGTGTGTCTATGAGGATGTTGCCAAAGGAGATTAACATTTGAGTCAGTGGAATGGGAGAGGAAGACATCCTCAATCTGGGTGGGCATCATTTAATTAGCTGCCAGTGCAGCAAGGATAAAAGCGGACAGGGGAATATGGAATGACTAGACTGGCTTAGTCTTCAAGCCTCCATCTTTCTCCTGTGCAGGATGATTCCTGACCTTGAACATCAAACTCTAAGTTCTTCAACTTTTAGACTCTTGGACCTTCAACCACAGACAGAAGGCTGAGCTACTGGCTTTCCTACTTTTGAAGTTTTGGGACTCAGACTGGCTTCTTTGCTCCTCAGCTTGCAGAAAGCCTACTGTGGGACTTTATCATGTGATCATGTAAGTCAATAGTCCTTAATAAGCTCTTTTTTATATATACATCTCCTATTAGTTCTGTCTCTCTAGAGAACCCTGGCTAATACAGGAGCATATATATGAGAAGTACAGTTTCATCTAGATCTAGTCATTGTTTGGGTTATTTTACTTCTAAGAAAAAAAAAGAGTAAGAAGATAATACATCAAGCAAAATTTCCTGCCAGTTAAATACGCATGGCTGGAGCTGCTAGTCACAGAAATAGTAAAATAAAATAGTTGAGAAAAATTGTGTGGAGAAAGGAAAATTTTCGTAGGAAAAGGAGGAAATTATAACTTCAATAATTTGACCTGGTCATGCATCTGTATCCTATGCCACTGAGTCACTTGTTCTTAGTTTTAGAATGTACATAGAGTTTCTTTTATAAATCATATAAATATTACAGGTGAGAAAAATAAAATATAGTTCTTTTATAAATCATATAAATATTATAGGTGAGAAAAATAAAACATAACACAACATAAAAATTTTACTTTAATACAGATTTCCAAGTTAATTGGAAATGAAGATATTATAGAAGGAAGGGAATGCATATTTTAGCTTTTACGGTAATACTCCTTTTATAAGAGAAAGCAAAATTTCCTAATACCAGGTCTGAATAGAACATCTTGTGTGCTGCTTTTTACATGTTGCTTATAACAAAGAATTCAAAATTTAATGGCTTAACAATACAAGGATTTATTGTTTCTTATGATTCTGCAGGTGTAACATGTACTTGAGACTACTGGAAAAGCAGTTTTACATGCGAAGCATTCAAGGAAAGTAAAATGTGCTTTTTGGTAAAAAAGATTATAATCTGCATGGAAATGCAGATTTTTTTGGCAAAAATGTTTAGAGGGTTAAAGGATTGTTTTAAGTTAGATAGGATAAAGCTAAAGGTTTGAGCAAGTTGTGGAAGATTTGTGAAAAATTAATCCCATAAAGGAAATTCTTTATGAAAACACACTGGCTAAAATTAAAGGAGTACTACTCAGTTTATTCATAAATTGAACATTAGAATAAAAGCACAACATTGTTTTCTTAGAGTATTGTTCTGCTCTTTAACAAAAAAAAACTGTAAAGGTTTTAAAAAGGTTTATGAAAATCTTACTTTATGGTCAAACAAACTAAGATTTAATAGAAATGTGTATAAAGTTTTATTAAGAATTGGATTTGCCATCAACAATACACTAAAGCAAAGGTAAAATCTGGCTTTCTGGGGGCTGTATTTGTATAAATTTATTATTGGCATGTGTTCCAAACTTGTGCCAAACTCCTGAATTCTAATGTGACTTAGTATACATTATCAGTCATCACTATAATTGTTATGTTAAATTATTGTGTTCCACAGAGGTGACAAATTTCTTTTTCAATTGTGTCTTTGATTATGGCTGCCCTAAGACTTTTTGTCATTGACAGATAACTGTTGTTTTGTTTTCATCATCTTTAAAAGGTGTTTTTATAATCAACTGTAAGACTTTAACAAGTGCTCTTACATGCAGGTTTCTGAAAACGTTGGAGACTGTGACATTAGAATAAAGGAAATATGTTTAGGATTATTATGGAGAGCTAAAATGTTCATGAATATTAAGTAAACAGGAGCTAACTGCATGGACTGAACTAATGGAAAACAGAAATAATCCTTCTATTTACAGCTTTAAAAATTGCAAAAAAGTATATTCCATTTAACAAAATTTGGAGCATATTGCTTTCTCTCTACCTGATTTCTCCAGTATTTGGAAGCTGAATATTCTTAACTTATAGCAATGTACTTATTTGCATAAGTGCAAATAAGAATTTGTTTTTATTTACAACAGGACACCTTGGAGAAACTGGTTATTTTACCAGTAGTTTGAATTACATGGTGGCCTTTCCTTTAAAAAATCAAATTTGACTTATAGCGCCAAAAAAAGCACCTTGGAAAAACTGGCCTTATGCTTTGTCTACACAGTCCCTGTACAGGGTTTCTGGCCTATGGTAAGTAAAGAATGTCACTTTCTGACAGGGCTGGGAGCCCCAAGTTGTCTTGGGACCTCAAAAGGAGAGGAATTTACTCAACTCATACAGGTATTCGATGGCACAAACCCATGGCTGGGCTAAAGGCTTTAAGTATTATTCTGAAATTCCTTACAGAATGAAATTACATCAAAGCCAATTTAAAAGGGGGCCTATATGACAAATAATTATTCTTGCTGTGCTGTATACAAACAATCAGGACAAATTTAATAAGACTAAAGCTTATTTTGCAAACAAATCAGTCCTATTATAATTGTTTTCATAAAAATGAGGACTGGAGAGAGAAAAATTGTGCTTGAATAATAGAAGGAAGGAAAGGAGGGTGGGGAGAGGAAAAGGGAGAGGGAATGGGAGAGGGTACATGTATGGCACACTTGTTATTAGATTCTAGATTTAACAGTTGTTTTAGAGTTTTTGTCTGCAGTTTAGACTAGCTCTACTTATTCCTGTGAACCAACCAGTAGTCTCTGGCTGCAGCTCAGAAGAAACAGTAGGGATGAGTTATGTAAAAAATTTTTAAAAATATATATACATATACAACTCCTCGTTTCAAATTCTTCTGTTTCAGTTTCCTGAGTAGCTGGGATTACAGGCATGTGCCACCACACCCAGCTAATTATTGTATTTTTTAAGTAGAAACAGAGTTTCACATGTTGGCCAGGAATGGTCTTGATCTCTTGACCTCATGATCCACCCACCTCAGCCTCCCACAGTGCTGGATCAATATTTTAATTCTGGGCACATACTGGAATTGGTAGCAATCCCATGCAGCCAAGACTTAGCAGGTATGACTATAGTTATTAATACCAGCTACCTGGATGTGTCGGCAGTCTCAGAACTTTTTGGAGCTGTGATCACTCCCTTATTTTGTTCTGACATTCTAAATTTAATAACCCGATATGCTTCCTCTAGCCTTCAGGCCATCAAGCTCCAGATGATCCTCAGTGAGGGATAATGTCCTCTCAATATTCAAGACTAACCCTTCTACAGATCCCTAGACTGCCCATCAGGGAGACATGATAGAGGCAAAATCCTGCCCCATCCACCTTGGAACTGGCTGGATACTGCTTTCACCAATCCACGGAGCCACTGTCCTACCCTGACAGCTAGCAAAGAGGCCAAGAACCACACAACAACCACCGCTACCCCTCTGGCAGGAGCAAGCAGTTACAGAAGACTGAGCTTCATCCATTTTCCTCAATTAATTGTAATCTTGGACTCTTAGGTGGGGGAATGTTACAGTGGGTAGCTAGTCAGGCATGAGCAGGGCAGGAGAGGGTTTCCCTCCCATACATCAAGAATGTCAGGCAGCCATCAGGTGATGGTTGGGCAGTTGTTAATTGTCTCTCTGAAATAATATTTGGTCGCTGCTGGTGCCAGGGAGAGGCAGTCTTCGAGTAGATAGAAATAACGTGACACTGGTAATCAGCACCTTCCCAGTAAGATTTCAGGTATTAGGCAAGTGGGCTCAAGCATGTGCAGTAGAGGCAAAATGGCAGGGTTTAACTGCTATATGACCATCCAGTGACATTCAACTGCTAAGGAAAGAATGCCTCAAATGAGCATGCATACAACTCCTGTAAATACACAGTCCATGCTCACCTCCCATGTGCTAGCAAGCCAATGTGCATGCAGACAGCGCATCCAATGGGAAAAATCAGGAGAGAAGGGATGCAAGACTCTGGAAGTATGCCAACATATAAAATCCCAAGTCAAAGGTCAAACAGGACACTTTATCTCTTAAGTCACCCACTTGGCCCTCTTTCAAGTAGATTTTATACTTTCATTCCTGCTCTAGAGCTTCTTAATAAATTTTCACTCCTACTCTAAATCTTGCCTGGGTCTTTCCTTCTGCCTTATGCCCCCCAGTCAAATTCTTTCTTCTGAGGAGGCAAGAATCAAGGTTGCTGAAGATCCATACAGACTTGTCAACAATAATAGAAGCATAGGTGAAACCCCTGCTTGTATCACTTTCACTAATGTCTCATTGACCAAAGCTGTGGTATGATTAAGCCTACCATTATTGTGAGGGCACTACAAATGACATAAGTATTGGCAGCCAAACTCTTTGCTTCTCCCCTATATAACAATCTACTACACATGAGAAATCTTTTTATATTCACATGGGAGTCTATGAGATTGAATCTCTATTTTTCTACATTACTCTGTGATAAAGAGAAAAAATTATATCCTCCTCCCATTTTTAACATCTCAAACAAAAGCAATTTGATAAATAAGAAATATTTCAGGTGATGAGTATTTAATTTTTAAAGGAACAATTGTCTGTCACTTTCTAATAAAGCCAGGGGAGTATGTCTAAAATCAAATGTTAAATTGGATTTTAAAAATAACAAAACCAATTACCATATGTGCATTATGAATCCTTTTTTCAGACACATAACATTATATGGTATCTTTCTTTCTGAGGAATAGTTTCTACCCAAAAAGAAGGCCCAAATTTAAATAGTCAGGTTGTTCATCAGAACTTCAAATAATAATAAAAATACACATAAAAATAAAAAGGGAACTAAGTTTAGTGATTGGTTACTTCACTGAAGAAATAAACCTCTGCATAAATTATAAATGAGCTTAAATACATTGGTAAACTTATAAAAACATTAACTATAATTCAACAAAAAGTTTATATGAAGAAACAAACCAAGACAAGTTGCTGAGTACTTTATTTGACTTTTGTCTGAGGTCATTTGATGAACCAGGTGGACTTGTTTTGATTTTTAAGAGATTGAGGACAATATCTAAAGTCTGTGGGTTTAACTATGTTTAGGAGTCTGATAGGAGACATACCCTTAAAAGAGGCAACTAAGGATTACATTTTTACAAAGGTGAATGTAAAACAAACTAACTCCACCTTATGAATACTACAAGGAAAGTTCTTGTCATAATTTTGATATTGAAATTGATTTGATTTGATATTAAAGGGGAAAATATCTTTCTCAAGAATTTTTGACACCAAGTTACTTTCTTAAAATGGCTTTGCAATGAGAATGTATACTGCATGGGTGGTGCCAAGAAACATTAAATAAATAATTTAATTTAGTAGCCTAAGCTACTGCCTCAGGTTCCTGGAATAAGTAAAATCTAATAATCTAAAAAAATCCATTTTCCTTCTATAACTCAAATAATTTTCAGATAAACTTCTAAAAAGTAAAATGTATCAGTCAACCATGAAAGAAAAACAAGGTATGAGTGAGAGGTTAACTGGCTCTGTGGCTTACTGACTAGCATGCTTTCTGAAATGTATTGCTACCTGCTGGCAAGCTTGTGCTTTGAGTTGTGCTGATTTTTCTGCATTTACAAATCTTACCAAGTCTCTCTTTAGACTTCATCAACGTAAGCTGGAAGTTTTCAATAATTAGTGTGTAGAGACAGTGCTGTGGGAATGGAGCTCTCCTTTTATAAGTGGTGTTGGGAGTGTGTCCCAGAATAGATTTACTATCTGTGTGTCTCAGATTGTAGTATGTGTCTTGATTCCAGCACAAGCCACGATTGACACTAGAGTCAGGAAAATCTCTCAACTATTGACAGGTGGGTGTGTGTCTTACCATGCATTGGCCCTACTCTATAGAATGTTCTGAGGAAAGACTGATAGCTTGTGAAATATGTAGGCCCATTGGAGATAGCTCATATAGGGGAAGAGAAGTCACAATGTGACATGCTGAGGTCACATTAATGAAACAAATGACTTATTAAGAATTTACAAAATACCAACAGTGGCAGTGTCCATTTTTCTAAAATATTTCATACTGGTCATAGCTGCTGTGACCCAACAAGCAATAAATTATAATTAAATTAAGTCTTTGGCCTTTAACTATTGGTTTGATATAATGAAACCCTATGGCTCTTACTCCAATATAACAAGTTATCAAGCTCTATATAAATTGAAACACGATCTTCAAGGATTAAAACCCATTATACAAGACATTTAAAGAAGAGTTGGTTATCCCTACTGCTTCTCAGTTAACAGCCCAATTTGGCCTGCTTCTAAACCTGAAAAAATAAATGGCACCTTATAGTGGATTGTTATAATGCTAATGCTCCAGTCATACCAATTAAGGCACACATACCTACTATTATTAAAATTACCAAATTCATCCAACCAGCAACTGATGAATATTTTGAATCTTTTGTAGTTGTAGATTTGTCTATTACATTCTATTTAGTGTTTATTTCAATAGGCTCTTGGATGTGGTTTGCTTTTACTTTTGAAGTGACACAAAAGAAGGTGCTTACCTAGCTATCTATGGGCTACATCAACATTCTTGTGATCATACACAATCTTTGTAGGTAAGATCTTAACTGTATCCAACTTTACTCAGGAGCACAGGTATAACATCACACTTATGACATCCTGCTCCATGGAGATGCATTTGATATATTTATTCAGGACACACAAATATTGACAAAGGAGTTCATAGAAAGAGGTTGATCATTGTTTCACTCATAGTACAACGGCCCACCACTTCGTCACATTTCTGAAAAATTGTTAGATAAGCTGAGGGCTGCTCTATCCCTGATACTGTCAAGAAACAGCTACTAGTCTTCTCAGCAACCATGATATTAAAACAAGCAAAAGTTCTTTTAGCCTTTGGTTTTGGAGACAGTATATTCTTTATTTAGAAATTTTACTTAAGCTCATATATGCTGTCACTCACAAATCAGCATACTTTGAATGGAACCTCCAATAACAAAAGTCCCCAGCATCTGTCCAAATTGCAATAGAAGATTAGTGCTCTCCAACCAGACTCCTTCACTCTAGCAGCTTTAGCAACCTCCTCTTATTTTTCTTGGGGTCTTGTATATATCAATAATGACTATATAATGCCCATAGGCTATTAGTGCAAGCAATTGCCTTCCTTGACTCAACATTATAGGCCATTAGGGTAACACTGCTAGCTGGAATTGTTAGCTCTCTTAGATAAAGAGATGTCACAGGACCCAAGCTTATGGCCTTTCATACCCAGCTGCTGCCCATTACACCTTGGGTCAAGGTAGCAGCACTCCATGAGCTCAGCATGGCCACTGAAGTCCCCTTGCTGTCAAGTTAAACCTAGGTATTTTGGATTTTCCCAACTGTAGGAGTTGGAAGGGGCTGTCTTGCCCTCATTTTCCTGCCAAATGACACAGTTATGGGGGAGGTTGCACTTTTCTATATCCCTTAGCTTCATGGGGGAGCCCCTTGGTATCAACTGTGTGAGCAGTAAAAGGAGTTCATGTAAGAGGGATGGAAACACCACTATTATGTGTGATGCTGCTCACTGGAGGGCTGTTTAAAGTGCTTTGCATCCTTCAACTGCATGTTCCTGGTCAAGGATCAAAACCAAGGGTCAGCAAAACTGACTAAACTTTACTCAGCCACTTAACACTAGATATCCTGGCTAACAATCAGCCTCATATACACATTTTTACAGCAAGAATTTCTTAACCAAGATTCCCCTGTAAGGTTATAGTACAGTACAGTACAAGCCATCACTAAGATACTCCGTCTCCTAGGAATTCTAGACATTATTAATAGTGACCAAGACTTCTCAAAATATACAGTGTCAGACTCTTCAACAAGGTACTCAGTATCATTTTGGATTCATTGGGACTACCCACTTCAACAAAGGCCCAAAGTGCAAGAGTCTTGGTGACAGAAGTATTTCAAAAAGAGGCTGAGAGCACCTTCACTACTTTAATGCTTATTGTCCAGCTTAAGGCTCTACTCTCTAAATTCTGGTGCAGTACTCTTCAGTCACCCCAGGTGTGGCTTCAGCGGACCCCAATACAGCATGAGCAGCAGTGATTTCCCCTCTGAAAGGCACATGTGGTAAACCCTGGCAGCATCCTTTGGTGTGCAAAATGCACAAGGACATGGCCACCTCCACCCCAGGTTTCAAAAGATACAGCCATGTGGAACTTTGAAAGTGTAATCCAGGAAGAAGGATTCCTTCAGGGCTAGATCACTGCAGAGAACCTCCACTAGGGCAATGCCTAGTGGAACAAAGCAGGCAGGGCATCCCGGCAACCTCAGACTAGTAGAACCACTGGCTTGCAATTCCAACCTGGTAAAACCACTGGGACTGCCTACAACCTGTGAGAGCACTGGCACTTACTGGGCCCTGAAAAGCCATAGTAATGGGGCCATCCAAAACAGTGGGAGCTTGGCTGCCCAGGGCCTTTGGTAAACAAACCCTGCTCAACAGAGCTGCAGAGGCAAGACCTCTGTGCTAGTGGGCCTGGAGGGAAGATTCTCAAGTCTATGATTATTCTCTTTTTTTATTTTTTTAGAAAGAAAGAAAGAGAAAGAGAAAGGAGAGAGAGAACAGGAGTCTTGCTCTGTTGCCTAGGCTGGAATGCAATCTAAAAATAGGTATTAAAAACCTCTTTTATGCCGATAATTGTGCTTAACAGTGGAGACAGGAAAAAATAAGGGAAGAAAATAACAAACAAACAGCCAACCAATATTTCATTTAAGGCTGTGAAATGCAGTGCAAATGCTGAAGAATGATTTACTTCCAATTATGTGATCACTTTCAAAATAGGTGTAATGTGATACTGAGAAAAATGTATATTTTGTGGACCTGGGGTGAAGAGTTCTATAAATATTCACTGAGTTTACTTGTTCCAGGTCTGAGTTCAAGTCATAGATGTCCATGTTAATTTTCTATCTCGTTGATCCGTTGAAAAATATTAACAATATGGTGTCAAAGTCTCCCGCTATCATTGTGCGGGAGTCCAAGTCTCTGTATAAGTCATTAAGAACTTGTATCTGGGTGCTCCTATATTGGGTGCACATATTTATGATCATTGACTCCTGTTGTTGCATTGATCCTTTTACCATTATGTAATGTCCTTCTTTGTTTCGTTTAGTCTTTGTTACTATTAAAGTCTATTTTGTCAGAGACAAAAGTTACAACTCCTGTTTTTTTTTTTTTCTCTCTCTATTTGATTGGTAAGTCTTCCAACAGTGCTTTGTTTTGAGTCTTTGTATGGCAATGATTATTCTCAAGGCTTAAGGTTTCTGACTTACTTGGGACCTGTTATCCCTTTTTTCTTTCCTATTTCTCCTTTTTGTAAGGAGAATCTCTGTTCTATGCCTGTGCCACTTACTATTTTATTTTGGAAGCATGTAACTTCTTTCACTTCACAGGGTCACAGCTGAAGAACAATTTGCCTAAGGATAAATCCCACCTTGAGTCTTACTCATATCTAATTTAGATGAGACTTTAGACTTAGGCTTTGAAGTTGATGCTAGAACAAGTTAATATTTTGGGGGCTATTGGGATAAAATAAGTGTATTTTGCATGTGAGAAGAATGTGAATTTTTGGAGGTCAGGAGTGAAATGCTGATATATCTGTATTCTCAAACAATTAATATGTTGAAATGTCATCACAAATGCATAGTGTCAGGAGGTGGACCTTTGGGAAATGATTAGGTCTTGAGGGTGGAGCCTTTATAAGGAAGATTAGCACTCTTATAAAGAGGCCTCAGAGAGCTATCTTGCCCCTTTTAACATGTGAGGAGGACAAAGTGAAAGACACTGTTTTTTAAACCAGGAAATAGGCCCTCACCAGACACCAGGTCAACTGGGATCTTTCACCTTCATCTTTGACTTCACAGTCTCCAGAACAGGGAGAATAAATTTCTGTTGTGTATAAGCTACCTGGTTTATGGTATTTTGTTATAGCAGCCTGAATGGACTAAGACAGAAATGCTGCAGAAGAAAACTGAATAAATACACAAAAACATATTCAAGCATACTAATAATAAGATAAATGCAAATTATCTTAAATGAATTAATACTTTATACCCAAGATTATCCCAGACAAGCAAAAGCTGAGGGATTTCATCAACATCAGTCCTGTCCTACAAGAAATGCTTAATGGTGTACTTTGATCAGAAAGAAAAGAACTTTAATGAGCAATAAGAAATCATCTGAAGGTACAAAACTCACTGGTAATAGTAAGTTCACAGAAAAGCACATAATATTATAATACTGTAACTGTGGTGTATAAACTATTCTTAAGTAAGAAAGACTAGATGATGAAACAATAAAAAAACTACAATTTTTAAAGACATAGACAGTACAATAAGATATAAACAGAAACAACAAAAATGTAAAAAGCTGAAGGACAAAGTTATAGAGTTTTCGTTTTGCTTATTTGTTTTTGCAAACAGTGTACGTTGTTATCAGCTTAATATAATAGGTTATGAGATAGTATTTGCAAGCCTCATGGTAATCCCAAATAAAAAAGGAATCCAAGGAATACACAAAACATAAAAAGCAATAAATTAAATCATACCACCAGAGAGAATCACCTTCACTAAAAGGAAGACAAGAAGGAAAAGAAGATCACAAAACAATCATAAAACAACAAAATGAGAAAAGTAAATGTTAGCAATAATAACATTTAATGAAAAGACATAAAGTAGCTGAATGGGTAAAGAAAAACAGGACCCAATGATCTTTGCCTACAAGAAATATACATCACCCATAAAGACACACATAGATTAAAAATAAAAGGACTGAAAAAGCTATCCCATCCCAATAGAAAATGAAAAAGAGCATAAATAATTATACTTAGACAAAATAGATTTCAAGACAAAAACTATCAGAAGAGAGAAAGAAGGTCATTATATAATAATAAAGTAGTCAATTCAGCAAGAGAACACAACAATTATAAATTCATATGCACCCAATATGGAGCACCCAGATATATAAAGAAAATATTATTAGAGCTAAAATGAGAGATGGACCCCAATAAAATAATAGCTGGAGATTTCAACACCCCACTTTCTACACTGGCCAGATCTTTGACAGAAAAAAAAAGTGGATGTAATCAACACTATAGACCAAATGAACTCAATAAATATTTAGAGAACATTTTATCTAAGGGTTACAGAATATGCATTTTTTTTTCCTTAGCATATACATTGTTCTCAAGGATAGACCACATGTTAGGTAATAGAGGAAATCTTAAAACATTCAAAGAAGATGAAATAGTGTCAAGCATCTTCTCTGATCACAATGAAATAAAACTAGAAATTAATAACAAAAGGAATTTGAGAACTATAGAAGCACATGTAAACTAAACAATATCCTCTTGAATAACCAGTAGTTCAATGAAGAAATTAAAAAGACAATTGAAAAATTCCTTGAAACAAATGATAATAGAAACAAAACATGCTAAAACCTATGGGTTACAGCAAAAGCAGTACTAAAAGGAACGTTTTGAGCTATAAGTGACTACATCAAAAAAGAAGAAAAATTTCAAATAAAATACCCAGCAATGCATCATAAAGAACTAGAAAAGCAGAGCAAACCAAACCCAAAATTAATACAAAAAAAGAAATAATAAAGATCAGAGCAGAAATAAATGAATTTGAAATGAAGAAAATAATACCAAAGATCAATGAAACAAAAAATTTTTTAAAAATATTAACAAAATTGACAAACCTTCAGCCAGACTAATGAAGACAAAAAGAGAGAAGACCCCACTAAATAAAATGAAAAATGAAAAAGAAGACATTACAACTGATACTGCAGAAATTCAAAGGATCATTAGTGGCTACTATGAGCTATTATATACCAACAAATTGGAAAAATCTAGAAGCAATGAATAAATTCCTAGATACATACAAACTACCAAGAGTGAACTACGAAGAATTTTAAATACTGAACAGATCAATAACAAGTAATGAGGTCAATGTTGTAATAAAAAATCTCTCAGCAAAGAAAAGCGTGGGACAACATAGCTTCCCTGAACTCCATCATACATTTAAAGAGGGACTAATACCAATCCTAGTCAAACTATTTTGAAGTATAGAAGAGGAGGGAATACCTGCAAGCTCATTCTACAAGGCCAGTATTACTCTAATATGAAAACCAAAAAAAAACACATCAAAATTAGAAAAACATAGGCCAATATCACTGATGAATAACAATATGAAAGTTTTTATGAAAATACTAGCAAACCCAATTCAACAACCCAACTCAAAACAAAGATTATTCATCATGACAAAGTGAGATTTATCCCAGGGTGGCAAGGGTGGTTCAACACACACAAACCAATGTGGTACATTATATTGACAGAATGAAAGACAAAAACCATATGATGATTTTAACTGATGCTGAAAATGCATTTGATAAAATTCATCATTGGTGGGATGAGTAGTGAGGGCATGGAGGGGAGGTGGGGATGATTAATGGGTCCAAAAAACAAAGGACCCATTAATCATTTATTTCTTTTATTAAATAAAACCTAGTATTTGGTGGCATAATCAGGTGACTATAGTCAATAATAATTTAATTGCACATTTTAAAATAACTAAAAGAATGTAATTGGATTGTTTGTAATGCAAAAGATAAATGCTTGAGGTGATGGATACCCCATTTGCCATAGCATCATTATTATGTACTGTCTGCCTATATCAAAATATCTCATCTAACCCCTAAATATATACACTTACTAAATACATACCCATAAAAATTAAAAAAAAACATAAAGATAAAAATTGATAAAATGCTTTATACTGGCATATTAACAAATATTAATAGGTACAACTGCTTTGGAAAATACTTTAGTATCATTTTATGAAGTTGATATTAGATATCCTAAACAAACAGGCACATAATCCCTTGGGCAACTGTTCAAGACTATACATAGCAACACGGTTTGTAGTAACAGAAAATTGTAAACAAAAATGTATTTGTCATTAAAAGAATAATAAGTAAATAAATGTTGGTATATTTATATTCTGGAAGACTATACAGCAGTGAAAATGAGTAAATTATTGGTAAGTGAAAAAATACAGATACATCTTAGAACATAAGGTTTAACAGAGAAAAAGCCAGTTGTAAACAAATTTAGAAAGTGTGATTAAGTTATAAGACGAAAGCCTTGCAAAAGTAAACATCATTCTATAAAATAAAGGAACATGAATATACAGTAAAACTAAAGGAAAGGAGGAAAACTACAATGACCGATTTTTGGATGGCGGTAGAAGGAAGAGATTAGGATTTGGGAGGACATAAAGGAGATCGCCAAATCAAAGGCAATATTCTGTTCTTAAAGCTTTGAGATGGGTACTCATGTATTGTCTTTTGTACATATATTTTAGGAATATTATTTTGTAGACTATGCATTTGATTTAGGTAATTAAAAATTCAGATTATTAAAATAAAAATTTATTATAATCAATTGTTGGGAATTTTTAAGCTTTAATAAAATAGCATATTTTGTTTTAAAAGAACATGAAAATAGAAGAAAGAAAAGGGCGAAAAACAACAATTGCCTTTGTGAGTACTGACCCCTAGCTAGCCAAGTAATTATGACCAGCAAACACTACCATTTCAATCACTAGGAGTTATTATTTCATAGATATGTGTCTTTGAACAAACTTGACTTAATTAGTAGTCATTACTATTTCAAGTAATTGCATTTGTTGACAACAATAATGCCTTAATGAGCTTAAAAAAACATATACTTTGTCCAACCAGAATGTGCCAAGACGTTTAAGGAATAAAGGAATCCAATGAATGCACATATATTAAGCATTTTCCTGTGTATTTAGGCATTAGGCCTTCAAACAGCGATAACTGCAACATGGGAGGTTTTCTAGTTTTGTTTATCATACATTCTCAAGCAAATAAAGATAATACATAACATCTATAGCTAATTATTTTTAATTTTGATAGCATAAAAATAAATCATAATAAATTGATATTTGCTTTACATCTATGTGCGTAATTTTATAACAGAGACATTTTCAAAAGATAGTTTCTTATTTACTCGTATGTTTTAAAAATGAGTGTGATTAGGGAAGAAAACATCCCCCAAAGTTTCTAAAGACAAAATATCATTAGAGAGATCATCACTGAAGCCAGTGAATAATGCCTGTTATAGAAAAACAGAAAATTCATAGTTTGTTTCCATATAT